AAAAAGAAAAAAAATCGTATTACTCCACCAGCCCACACAACATCCCTCACATTTTATGCGGCATCCGGCCTTTTCTTCCAATCCTCCTTTTGTGCAGTCCGTGGGGCGCACAGCAGCGGAGCCGGCACCGCGTGTGTGCAACAAGAAAAAAACAAAAAAAGAAGGAGACACACGTCGCTCATAACAGTGTGCAGCAACCGACCATAAAAACAAAAAAGAGAAACTGGTTATTCAAACAAAATACCAGAAGCAACAGCAAAAAAATTTTTAAAAATTTAAAATAAAAAAACCGCCAGAAAGGCAGCACATATTCCCCGTGTGGTGTCGCAATTCCACACTCTTTGGCTTACAGTACTGCCACAACTCCACACAGTCCCAGAAGTATCAACAGCCGAGACACGCACACACACGCAGTGCTGTCACCACGTAAATCACCAAGGATCAATTTCGCGTCATTGAGCAGGGCGAGGCGGTCTTCTGGACTCCCGCCGCTCTCGGATACTGAGTGGTGACTTTTTGTGATGAGGTTTTCGTGTCCAGAGGCACTGCGCTCACTCAATACGTCCGCACTATCCTTAACAACCAGGCCAGTGCTTGCAACGTCATTTTCCGAAGCGAGGGTATTTTGTCTATTTGCGTTGCGCTCATTCACCTCGTCTGTTTTGTCCCCAGCAACGTGTTCACATGCTCTGCTCCCTTTTTTCTGCTTTTTTGCTTTGTGTTTCTGCAGGCAAACACAAACACACACACACAAGATGCACATTGCGTTGGGTTTGAATGCGCATTTTGTAATGCATGCTGGCGGTTGCGTGTGGCGGCTGCTTCCTCCGTGGCCGTGAAGAGCAGGGAGGAGGAGGGAGCGCGCAGCCCGAGTCTCTTTTCCCGCGGGTGTGGTGCACCGCGTGTGACTGCGTTGAGTTGGGCTCCGTGTCCCATGGAGGGCGGGATGGCTGGAAATTTTGTTGCCGCGTCATGGATGGATGAGGGTTTGCTTCCGGTTGTGGCTGGTGTGGTGGGTGCTCGCTCCGTGTGCGTTGTGTGGTGGCCGCGGGGCTTTTGCCATTTCCCTGGGGCTGCAGGAATGAGCTGTGGGAGATGTTGGCGGATATCTTCTCCCACTGCATGGTGGGTGGCTGCTGGCGCTCTTTGCCTTCATTGCGTGGATGCCGTCTCGTGGTGTGTGAACTGTGCGGCTGGGCCTGCTGCCCTCTCCTCATGTTGTCTGCTCTCTCTCTCGCTGCGTCCGCTACACTCCGTCTCTCTCCCTCTTGTTCCATCCCTTTTCCTTCTGTCTCACCGATCAGCTGACTGACTCCAGCGACTCCACTACGGGTGACGATGACTGCGATGGTGACGGTGCGGCGCCATGTTGGTCCTTGCGCTCTCGTGCTGCTGCTGGGAGTGCTGGAGATGTATCTGGTGATGCGGATGCGGTGGTTGTGCCGGTGGATGTGTCGTGTGCTCCGAGTGACGGCGGCCTGAGGTATCGCGTGCGTGGTTGTGTGTGGGCGTGGAAGAAGTGTTCTGCTGCCGGTGCTGAGGCTGAGTATGAGAATTATACTTTTAGTGGCTTTGATGTGCACATGCATAGCAGAGATGGTGAGCTGGGTGCAGTGTGCCGTGTGGCCAATGCGGTGCATACATCTAACAACTGTGCTGCCAGCTATGCAACGGAAGAGGAAGGGGCCACCGTTGCCTTCACGATGAATGTGACGACACATAAATACGCCGGCCCTTATGAATTGTGGTGGCGTCAATTTTCTCCCGATGGAACCATCCATCCGCCTGCACGGAGCGGCGATGCTGACCAGACGGGCATCTGTCAGTTGCCGCCACCCCGTGAAGAGAAGGATGACACAAAATCTGGTGGGACAACTGCACCACAAATTAATGCTGAGCCGTCACGTCAAAACGAGGATTGGCGACAGTTTGCGGCTGCTGACGGACTCAACACCGTCGATCGGAGTCCCGCATCCAACACGGCAACCAGCACTTCTGAGACGAAGCCTGAATTTGCTTACGTTCAGAAGATAAAAGTAGCTTTGAATGCATTGGAAACGAAATCTGTGCCCATCACAGAGCCGGTTACTTTACAGCGGTTGAGTAAATTGGCTTTGGATTCACGCGACTCGACGCGAAATTGATCCTTGGTGATTTACGTGGTTAAAGTATTGCGCGTGTGTGCGTGTCTCGGCTGTTGATACTTCTGGGACTGTGTGGAGTTGTGGCAGTACTGTGAGCCAAAGAGTGTGGAATTGCGACACCACACGGGGAATATGTGCTGCCTTTCTGGCGTTTTTTTTATTTTAAATTTTTAAAAATTTTTTTGCTGTTGCTTCTGGTATTTTGTTTGAATAACCAGTTTCTCTTTTTTGTTTTTATGGTCGGTTGCTGCACACTGTTATGAGCGACGTGTGTCTCCTTCTTTTTTTGTTTTTTTCTTGTTGCACACACGCGGTGCCGGCTCCGCTGCTGTGCGCCCCACGGACTGCACAAAAGGAGGATTGGAAGAAAAGGCCGGATGCCGCATAAAATGTGAGGGATGTTGTGTGGGCTGGTGGAGTAATACGATTTTTTTTCTTTTTTTTCATTACATTTTTTGCTTGTGCAGGTAATATTCATACGCACGTGATCGTCTTTTGCTGCATGGCACACGAAATGGAAGTCCTGCCGATTCATTTTAGTTTCTTTTTTTTCTTTTTTAAAAAATCCCTGCGGACTTCTTTTCTTCCGTTCCGTGTCCACTGTCACTTTGTGTCTCCGTGTGTCGTTGAGTGCCCTTCTGCTGGCTGTGTTTCCGAACTGCCCTCATACCTTTTTCTTCTTTTCTGCTAGAGGCACCGATGGTTTGCGACGACGATTGTTTGCGCTACCCATTGCGATGGCACGAGGGTGACTGGGCATCCTGCCCCGGCATGCTGAGTGCACTCGGAGGGGAGCGGATGGTGTGCGCCGTGCCGCATTTGTGAGTGTGGGACGCCACCCGCCAAAACCTGCTGTGAAGTGCGGTGCCAATTTGTCAGAGCGGAGAGAAGTAAAGGGCTGCGCCGTGGTATTGGACGCGCCTCGTTCGTTTCTTTGCGGCCGCGTGTGTGCTGTGTGCGCATGGCTCTATCTTGCGGTGCGACGTGGATGGCGTTGCTTCTGCGTGTGCCCTCGTGCATGCGCTGTGCGGCGGACTTCGTTCCCCATGACGCCGTCCTTGTGTGTGGAAGAGTGGAGGGAGCGGGGGGACGTGAGGAACTGAGTGTGGGTGACAGCCGACTCCTCCACGCACATCGACGTCTTCCACAGAGGCGGCGCCTCGCTTAACGTCCCCTCATGGCACCCAGACCGTGGACTGAGAGGGTGAGAGGGTTTGCTGAAGGAGGAAAACGAGACGCAGTTGATGACGGCCAACCTGATCGGCTTGTGGTTGCAGCGCGTGGGGCGCGTGCGCCGGTACGCGTTTGGCGTTGCGCTCACTATTGGGGAGGGGGGGCGGCACGACATTGTGGCGCTGTGTGTTTGCGCGGCCGGGG